CTAAGAAATTGACGTGTTTTATGAAATCTGCTTATGAATTTCTTTTTAATCGTAATCTGCTGCTTTCAACGATAAAAAGAAATAAGTTATTGACTTAATACAGTGGTAGATTCAATTTAATAGTAATAGAGCTGTGATGTTAATTGCAAACTGCTACGCTATGATATTGGTCATATTGAAAGATTAATTTGAGTTATCTGGAAAGGAATTTCAATTTTCAATGATTTAATAGTTAATTGTATAGTAGTCGTCATGCTGTTTTTTACATTTGCTTTTTTTTTATTTAATTAAATTTAACTTAACCATATAGCAATGGTTTTATGAATTCCAATTGTTTAAAGATAGAAATATTGAATATGTAATGCAATTATTGGTTTCAATGATTTCGAGAGTTAATGCTATTGAAAGTTTCAAAGAGAAAGAAAGCCAAGGATGGCCTTTTAAAATGGTCTTTTAAGTCGCCCAAATAAATAATTTTTTCTTAAGTATAAAAATACTTAACTAAACAAATATTTATTTAATTGTTTATGAAATTGATATTTAAGCAATTAATATCTGACAAACTTAAAAAGGTAACAGAAGAAAATCTTAACAATCAAGTTACTTTTTAATAATTGTATAACAATGTACTAGTTCTAAATTCACCGTTTTACATACACAACTCTGATTGACGTAAACACTTTGCATTGTCTCCTTATTAAACTTACCATTTATTTTTAAAAATATCCAAAAATTTAATTTAAATTTTTCTTAATCTTTCACAACACCACCCATCTCTCACTGAAACTTCATTCATTTTTATCAAACAGAAAGTAAATGAAAGCATAGTTCATTTACATTACATCTTTATATCTATTAAAACAATAACCATTGATCATTAAAAGCTATTAAAAGCCATTAAAAGACATTAAAAACCACTAAAAATCATTAAAAACCACTAAAAATCACTAAAAACCATTAAAAATCATTAAAACCCAATGTAATAATAATCACGTAATTTCAAAATGGCTGAACACGTTCAGAAGTTAAAGGGCACGCGTCACGGATGAATACAAAATGAAATTTGCGCTCGTCATTGGTCTTAGGTCTAAAACGATTACGTTAGAAGAGGCACGTGTAGTACCGAACACGGTTACGCGATGGAGTCGAGCTGTTTAATTAACTACCGTTATGTTTGTTTGGGCCGTTATGCCTGCCAAAATGAACACAGCTAGAAACTATATGCTACGCTTCAGCGTGCGAATTTCCTCGAGTTCGTTTACTCACATGCACGAAAATACTTTGACTGTATTTATCACTTTTACCGAACTTTCATCAGGTTTCAGTCTTAGCTTTTAACTTTTCATTTTTATTTTTCACTAAATAGTACCTATTGCTTTGAATAACGTACACGATCGTTTGTTTAATATCATCGCTATTGAATTTTTCGTACAAATATTCGTTGTTTTCATTTCAATTCTTTTTCTAGTAGATGTCTAATAGTTCAAACAAGAATCGATTTTCGAATAAATTGAATACTTTGCTAACATGGTGCAATTATTAACATCATCTTAAGTAAGAGAACTGTAGAAACTTTTCAATGACTGATAAGACATGTATATGGTGCAAATATTTTTGATTATAATTTATTACATAGGTTTAAAACATGTGGAAATTAAATAAAATGAAGTGGAAAGTTGTGATATTGGGTTACAGCGTTAAAAGTAGGTACTTAAAAAGGATACGTAGGTCATTTCGCTTCAATACTATTTTATAAATAATTATTAATTAATTAATTTGCTACTTTGTGATATTTATTTTACGAATACGAAAGTTGACTGAAATTTAAACAGGATGATTCGTCGCATGACTCAAGGTGCCCAAAGATTAAAATCGAACCGGAAGCGTAATCATACGACGATATGAACTTCGATCATGAATGACTTAATTAAGTGACAATTAATCACAATTTTTATACACAGTCACATATATTGGTTATTTAATCAATTTTCTTCAAGTATTTTAATTGTTTCAAGACAGAAGAGAAAAAAATTGCTTGCAAAAACGATATAATTATAAGACAAACATTGCAATATGAGAATAATTTCTTTTATCAACAAATTTTAAGTTTAAAAATAAAAATTTATTCTAAGATCCTTTATTTTTAAGAAATTAGAATTTGTCCGTTTGTTCCAAGTTATAATCATTATGTAAAATAAGAATCTTCAATTTAAGTATTTAGCTTGTTTACAAAGAAATTAGAAATAATTTGATCAGACCATAGAGTAAAGTCTTTTTTGCAATCATGTCATTTTCGTAAGCAGCATTTCCGCTTTTTGCTTGAAATAATAGTGATATTTGTGGTCAACGGAATTGTTGGAGTACTTTATACAGAAACAAAAGGATATATTCTATTAGTACATAATGCTCTAAAATAAATATTATTTCACAAATTTCACCGATTTTACATAACATTTTTTTAGAGTTCACTGATATTAACAGCCTTGATATACATAATAACTTTTAGATAATAACAGTCTCAATATAAATCGTATGATAAAGATGACATTCGTTGATAATTTAAACATGTTTTCTATGTTCCAAACACTCAACATTGAATGAATTTTATAAACAAATATACGTCAGTGTTGGAAAAAAACAATATAAATTAGAATATTCTAGGTAGAAAAATGGTTAAGCTTGATTAATAAATGAAAAAATTAGGTTGATTATGTATTTTGTTCGAGGAAGATAATTTTTTATGGTTGGAAGTATTTAAATTAACTTTACGTTATATTAAGGGTTTAGTTAGAATATGATTGATTAAATTATTAGTGAACTGACGAGCAAAAGATTTCCTTAGTATTTATTACTTATTATCCTTATTTTCATTTATTTACTTATTTGTTTATCTACCTCGAAATGTGTATACAAACTGTGTTTATAATTAACTATTCCATGAATGGATTTACCTTCTCAATCGACAAAGACATCGACAGTTTTACGCGTTTGCTTTTACAGGCGCTAATGACATAATTAAATTCACTTATCAAAACAAGCACTTTGCATACTGGCAGTAGAAAGCAAAAGGCAACACATATGCGAATTTATGACGTCTTGAGTAATTTTATTAGTAATAGATAATCAGCGTATATGTGCAAATTGTTACACAGCCTTAGTAACATGTTTTATAAAATTCATTCAATATATTCAGAACTGAAATGTTTATTGTTGGTGATTAACATTATAAAACATCGAAATTTTGACAAAATTACATATCTACAGGAATAGCTAGAAGAATGTTATTAAAGACAATTAGTTTTATAAAAAATTTGTTTAATTCATATGTTTAACTGGTTTGCTATAGTTGTGACGGAAGAATATAATGAAAAATATAATGGGACATTAAATTACGGCAAAATCTATTAATTATCGCAGATGTTTAGTTATTAACAATTAGAGAAAAACAATAATTGATAGTTAAAAGACGTCGTATCTGTAATTGTAATTTGTGTATGACGAAAAGTATAATAAAGCAGAAAGTTAAAAGCTTTTTAATTAAATTTCAATGATGTATTTAATTAAGCAAATCTATCAACAAGGAAATTACATTCCAGTTGTTCAATTTAACATAACTTGAGTGTAAGAAAAATAAAGGTAAATAAAATTTCGCGGAAGGATCAGCGTCGTGGCAACGACATTAACTTCTATCTATGATACATTGACTGTCAAGATCAAGTTTAGTCATCCTTGACCATTTTGTTTTATAAGTGGAGCATAGGATTACGTATGCAGGAATTTCTCTCCACTCACGGTACCTTCGCACCTGCACCCGATATACAGTTAATGTTGGGAATGTATGATAGACATTTTATTTGTCGTAAATAAACCATACCACCAAGAAATAATGAAGTTACAGGGTACAAACAGCACGAATAATTACAATACAATCAATTGTCCTTTCTGATCCACGTATTTGCGAATGCATAATACGTAGTTTCAGTTTAGGATAAAATTGATGCTAACCATTAAAAATAACAATAAAACTATCTTTAATTAAGTTTTCATAGTAAAATAGAATCAATCAATGATTCAGAGTTTTCGATTAGGTAATTGGAGAAACAGAATTAACACAAACACGAATATACATTTGATGTTTAGAAAATATAAATATTCTTGATAATATAGTCTTTCTGATATGAAAGGGTTCTATGGCTGCAGAATATTTTCGTTTTCTTAAAGGAACGATGCAGTTGGTACCTGAATATTAATTAAAATAGAAAATACAATACTATAATATTAGCATTAAAGTAAGATTAATTATGTAAAATTGAATATTCTTGCCCAAGTAATATCATTTGGATTACATTTATTTTTGAAACAAAAGATTTCTATGGTAACAGAATATTACCATTTTCTTAAAGGAACCTATCAGTTCATACCTGTATGTCGATTTTGAGAAATAGAAAATCATTTACATAGGAAAATCTTAAAATAGTAAATATTGTAATATTATTGCTGAAATAACATTAACTAAGCATAATTGAATAATCGTGCCGAAGTAATGTTATTTGAATAATAGTTCAGTTCTGGTATGTTCATAGGTTTACTAGACTCCATAACGAGTACAGCTAACAGTGCGGATTGTCCAGGGGTATGTGTGCACGCATTTGCAACCTTAATATGTTTCGAAGTTCTCGAGCATGTGCAATGCCCTACTAGCATGCGATGTTGCATCGAGGCACCGATTAATGGTACCGGAACCTCCTCTGAAAACCTTCTCGAAGATGATAGTCCGACGTCGACGATGCTCACTACCGTTAAAATGGCAGTAACGTCTGTGAACGTCACCACGCCACCACCATCTACCACACCAGTGACTACATCGTCAATGGCCCCACTGAAAACTACCTCTGTGAGTGAGCAAGACAAGCTTTTTTGTTTTAAAAATGATAGCTGCATCGTCGTTCAACTATCTTCTATTTCAATATAATACGTGTATATAATAATGTAATAATTATATATACATAATATAATAAATATATAATTTTCTATTTTAATAATTATTACCTACATACACATTTAACGATTGAACTGTTTTGGATAGTTTGTGAACATAATCTAAGAACGAAGAACATTAAAGAAATAATTTAATGTTTTGCGTAAGTTCCGATGATTTCATAAGGAAATGTAAAAATAATAATTATATGCTTTAAGATATTACTGTTACGTTTTTAGTAGTTTCTAGTGTACAACGAATTCATGTGCTTTTTCTTTTCTCAGGATAATCAAGTGGAAACGGTGAATAAGACGTCGAGTATGTATATTCTATTTTAAATAATATGTTAAGTTCATGGCAAAACAGAATTATAGTGATCATGTTCAATACGAACCTGTATATTCAAAACAGAATCAAAATATCATAAATATAATTCGTTTTATATAATTTTAATCCATAAAAACCTCAATAGTTTTTGAAGTTACTGAAATTACCAATCAGTAAATTAATCTTCAACTATACATGGCAATTTTGTCTACCTACTAAACCAATTTAACGAACTACATATTTGATTGAAGTGTGAACCACTTGGTGGTATACCCCGACGTCAAAATGTTAATTTGACGATTTAAATCCATTTACAATTATTTTTATTAATAGTTTCATTGAATTTAACACTAGGTTTACGGGCATTTATTGTACACTTCATTCTATTATTCCTAAAAGAATTGATGATCGTTTATTTAGATTGTGGAAACTGGAGATTTGATAGTAGGTAATTGGGGTACATGTTAGTGTGATCGCATCAATCAAAATCGACGTAAACATTTACAAAACAATATTTCTAAAATCCAATATGCGTCAAGTTAACGCGTTCCGTAAACCTAGTGTTAATCAAATTATTTTATATTCAAGTTGACATAATAACTTTAGTAATTTATTCATCAGTAGTTCATATAGGTTTAACACTTTGAACGCCGCACGATTTTATAGAGCAAAGTATACAAAATGGAACAAATATAATATTAAGTCATTTAATTGAATTACATTATTATTATTGCACGTTGCTAGCTGATTGTCACCGCATTAGGTAGCATTATTTATAATATAGAAATGTGATCAAATAATCATCGTTTAACTGAGTCAACTATATAAAGTAATTCGATTTAGTTGGGAATCATCAGTGATCCCCATGACATTCAACCTGTTAATAATAAGAATGTCCTTGTTTATTCAATTGGAATGCATTTCCTTTAGCAAAAACATGTTCCGGGATTTGCATGGCGGAACGAATAGCGGATTACTGCGACGCGGTTCTAGTGATAGACACCCTGTGCAAGCCGGGGTACAAGTGCTGCGTGTCCAGGGACGCGTTCGGTGATTCCCCGCCGCCAGAATTGTTGGTGATCGACCGAACGAATTCGAGTCGTTTTGACGAAAAAACTGGCATCAGCACGCTGCACAAAAGCTCGTCGCCGTCCACGACTGCCAGGCCAAACACATCTATTACCTCTACCAGCGTGTCCACCACCGCTTTGATTACGACCGTCGCGGCCACGAAACAGTCGACGACCACGATAAGGCCCAAGATCACACCGAAAAAACCGTGCAAGGGTGAATGTGTCAGCGGTTTCTTCGCTCTCCTCTGCGACAAGGTGGACGGAGAAGCTGAATGTCCCGACGATGGATCCTGCTGCATAATCGACGCATTCTTAAAAACGGTAATTAATCAATCTGAGAAAACGTGTTTGAAATTTTGTAAAACTTTGACACCTTCATCAAGAATTGAGGAGATTCGATGAGACGTTTTGGTTAAAAGTGATTTTTGATTTCATAAGTTTGGAATGTTATGGAAAGTTCTGGAAACTTGGTAAATATTTTTATGATCAATATTGATGGCAATTTTATAAAATTGTTATGAAAAGATTTTGGACAGTTAATCTTGTTGTTATTAATATTAATATTGATGATAATTTTATATATTTGAAATGTTATGGAGGAATGATAAACTTAATCAATCCTATTGTTATCAATATTAATAACAATTCTGTAAATTTGAAATGTTGCACGAAATTTCGAGAATTTAATGGAAGTAGTTATCGGCAACTGATGCCATAAGTTTGAAATGTTATAACAAATTTCATGCGAATTATTTAATGTAAAATGTTACAAAAGATTTGGATCCTGTTGTCAATATAGGTGACAATTTTACAAATTTCAAACGTTAAACATTCTCAGCGAATTTCCTCGCGATTGAGCTCTGCCTCTAAGCTGGTAGCTAAATAGATTAATAAAACAAAATACCATTTAAGTTTTGCTAATAGATTCTGTTTAAACGTCACGTTGTTTATGTAACAAAACGTTTAATTAGGAAACGACGACGACGATTCGGCCAACAACAAAGTCGCCGCAGCCGAAATTGCAGCCTTGCCCAGGATTCTGTTTGTTGACCATTATGGCGGCCTTCTGCGAGCGGCCGAACGTGATAATACCGAAGACGTCGAGTTGTCAATCCGGATCGATCTGTTGCGACAACACGAAGACTACGCCGCAGGTAATGCCATGTTCCTCGTTCCTATAGAAGAATATATAAAAGAAAAAGAAAAAAAAACTAGGGCAAATAAAATAACTCGTATTAAAAAGAAGACTGAAACAAAGCGTTGGTACGTAGAGAATAAACGTAGTGACACCATCTTCTTCGTATCAGACTCCAAGGCCGAGGCCGAAACCTACACCTAGGCCGCCGGTTACGACGGTCTTATTACCGCCGGATCCTCGCCCGGAATGTCCCGGTTCCTGTATCGTTTCTTACTTGTCTTTCACTTGTTTCAGTAAGTACTCTTTCGTTTTTCAATTATTTTGTTTACCTCATTCGTCGTCGACTCAATTATCTATTATTTTTTGATTTTTAACACTAGAGCTACCTTACCAGTCAGAATGACTGGTTTCAATTCTTTTGTTTCGCAATTATTGATATATTAGAAGCATTGAATATTTTTGAAAATAAATAGTTTCATTTGAATACTGTAACGTGTGTCTGAAGAAATTAAAAGTAATTTATTGTTACAATTTTTATAGGGATTACATATTAATCGTATCAAATGCTCGGTGGTTCTAGTGTTAATCATTGATACCCAAGAAAGTAAAACATATTTTTGAAAGTAAATTGTATATATGGAGAATAGTTAGATAGGTTTCTGTAAAATTCAGTATACTGTTAACATCTTGTCCTATAATATACTCCTGATGAAAGCTTCAAACTAAACTCAGCAAATCTAATTGTTACTTATATTTTCTTAATGTAAATTAAATATTGCTTTTCTATTATCAATCATTAATCCTTGGGGTAAACGCGGACACAAAATAAGTACTAAATCTTTCTCTTTTTCTATTAAATTGTTAACGATAAAGGAGTTTTATCAAGCACAATTGTAAAAAATACAGATATTTGACAACATAAATGAGATGGGGTTGTCTCACCCAGAAATACCCTATATTACTGTTAAACAGTGAACTGCTGTCTGATTATTTAGTTCAAGAGTATACAAGCTTGTATAAAATGGCTTCAAGTTATTTTGGGCAGATTTACTAAAATGGATTTTCGTATTAGATTATTAACACATTCAAAACCGGTAACATAGTTTTACGTTATTTTACATTTTTTAATAAGTAAGCCAGTTACTTAATCCCTTGCTCTATGATTTACTTTTTAACTATGATCGATACAACTACCTTATCGTTAATAATTTATTAGGAAAAGAAACAACTTTTATGCTTATTCTATGTCTACGTTTATTTAAAAGGTTAACGATTGATAATAGAAAAGTAATACTTAATTTATATTTCACAAATGTAGTTTAAAATTTTCGCCACGAGTATGATACGACATTGCAGGTCAAGGGATTAATTCTATGTCATTTCAAAATCTATAGCTGAGTACTGATAACATAGTTCTTATATCTTTTTTATTACTTTTCATATTCAGGTTTGAATAGCAGACAGTATTCAGCACATAAACTTCGCGAGAATATATGCGGTCGTGGATGTGTTAATTAATAATTCGTTACATACTTTTTCACTAAATGCCATTTTCTATTAAAATATTTAATCGCGTTTTTCAATTGAATAGTTTTATTGCGCAAGTTTCGTGGAAGTGTGAGAAACATTTCCTATCGTTTTGCTTTTAGGAAACGCAGAACTGACAAACTTGTTCAAATGCAAGAAACAAGGGCACCAATGCTGCGCGCCGAAATCGTTGATCCGAGAATTCAGCGGTGGAAATTCGACTGAACCAGTCTTAACCAACAGAAACGATACGATGTACGTCACGTCGAGGCCGTACACAACACCGCTCACAACGATGATGTGTAAGTTGCAAAATTAAATCACACATTTTTTACCTTTGATATGCTATAGAATTATTAATGAATTAAAAGAATGAGAAAGTTCAAATCTAACGAATTAATTATCATAAGGATAAAAGAAATCAAATATTAAAATTATTGAAAAATTGTAAAAGTGTAAAGAAAATATTGTTGATGTCATAGATGAAACAACGACAATGACAACAACCATGAGAAGTCCTGTGTACAGTAAGTATGTATGTGGTGTAAAAGGAACTTCTCGCGGACCCGTCCAAGCGCGTAGTCTTGAAAGAGGAGCACGCGTCGTTGGAGGAGAAGACGCGGACGCGAACGAATGGTGTTGGCAGGTCGCCTTGATTAATTCCCTGAACCAATACCTGTGCGGCGGTGCGCTCATCGGAACACAATGGGTTCTTACGGCTGCACATTGCGTTACAAAGTATGTTTCGTTCGCGCCGAAGTGATGTATAGTATGTTTCTTTTAAAAGAACGATTTAAAACGTATAGAGAGTCGGAATTAGTATTGATATTTAGACATTTTAATGAAAAACGCGAGACTTAATTTTTTTTACAAATGAAAAAGGTTCTTATTATATTGATTAAAAATTTCCACATCACGAATTTCGAAATCACAAATTTTCAAATTACAAAGTTTGAAATTACTGATTTTAAAGTTACAAATTTCCAAATCACAAATTCAAATAATAACATTTATCCGCAGCATCGTGAGATCCGGTGACGCGATATATGTGAGGGTCGGTGACCACGACCTAACTCGAAAATATGGAAGTCCAGGTGCACAAACTTTGCGCGTTGCAACCACCTATATCCATCACAATCACAACAGCCAGACTCTGGATAATGACATCGCGTTACTGAAGCTTCATGGACAAGCAGAGCTTAAGGACGGTGTTTGTCTCGTGTGTTTACCTGCACGAGGTGTTAGCCATACGGCTGGCAAGCGATGCACCGTCACCGGTTACGGATACATGGGCGAAGGTAAACATTTACACAACATTGAATACATGTTTCATTATTTCGTACAATGGAATTAATAGGACATATGATTTTTTTATTCTTTAGCTTGTTAACTGTGGAATTTAGTTTGAAAAATTTCTCTTTTCATGCAATAAAATCAAAAAATGAAGTGTGCACTTGTCAAACGCAGGACGAATGCACCTAGGGTATATTTTAATGAAAGGCCCAAAGAAAACAAAGAAGAATTATATGTTTATGTGAAAAAATAAATAATTCATCGTTGAAAGAATTAGTATGATTTCGCTTTAAGATAACGCGTATACTCGTCAAACGCAATTAACTGGTTAATCCCCTAATGCAAAAATTTTCTCGGTGTGCAACGTTATATACGAACTTCAAGTCAGACATTATTCAATTTTTCCATTTGATTATTAACATAAAATTGTTACCATTCATTTTTCCTAACAAAATCTTTTCGTTTATATAGAAGATATAAATTATAAGCTCGAGTTGTAAGTTATACAAAATGGCTACAATTGTTTTATAAGACGTGCAGTTTTCGAAACTATGTTTTTCAATTATCTTATTCGTATGTGTCGTTTGTGTATTTTAAAAGATTGATTTAATTAATGTATTTACAATGCTTTGTATAGCTGGTCCTATACCGTTACGAGTACGCGAAGCTGAAATACCGATCGTGAGCGACGCCGAATGTATTAGAAAAGTAAACGCGGTCACTGAGAAAATCTTCATTCTACCAGCAAGCAGCTTTTGCGCCGGTGGTGAACAAGGAAACGATGCGTGCCAGGTAATGTTGTGGTAACAATGTACAGAGTGCTTACTTTTTACTAATAGTACTTTGAATATTAATTCTTTTTTATAACAGTAAGGTTAAAAAGGTTGAAGCGATTTTAAAATTACAGATGTTCATACTTTTTATAAAATAGACTTATAATCGTAATGTTATATTACTTGTTGCCAATGATACTACAAATATCAATTTTCTTTTTCTATAAACATAAAGTTGAAGAGGTTGAAGTCATTTTAAAATTATAGATATTTATATTTTTGAAAGAACAGACTTTTAATTGTGATATGACATTATTTCTTACTAATAATGTTTTAAATATTAATTCTTTTTTTTATAAAAATTTTTATAAAAAGTTGAAAAAGTAGAAATGATTACAAGACTACAGATGTTTATATTTTTTAAAAACTAAACTTTTAAATGTAATGTTATATTATTAGGGAGACGGAGGAGGTCCATTGGTATGCCAAGATGACGGGTTCTACGAGCTGGCCGGTCTAGTTTCATGGGGTTTCGGTTGTGGAAGATTAGATGTTCCTGGCGTTTATGTGAAAGTTTCGGCATTCATTGGCTGGATCAACCAAATCATATCCGTAAACAACCTTTAGCTTCCTTTACGTTCTACTTATAAGAATCAAGACATTTATTTATTAAGAAGACGTGTAGTACCTTCACGCGCTTGATGACGTAACGCGTTTCGTTACGTATTTAGCAAAGATTGCGAAAAGAATTTCTTTTTCACGTACGATAAACGCGTGTTTTACTTTTCGGGGAAATTCGAGTTCAGAAAATGTTACGATATTTGTAACATGTTTAAACGTAAATGTCTTAGCTTTAACAGAGTTAACGAAATTTTGTTATGTTTAACGTGATCGTACATAGTGACGGGGTAAACTTTCGTTCGTCCAATGTTTCTCGGACATTATTTTAATTGGGAGACATAATCTTATCATTCGAGAGTTATTAAGACAGTTGAGTGTTTATAATTTAAAAACATTTATCATTAAATAGACACGTTAATATTATTGAAACTCTTGGTGAAATTTGGTTTAAATGCCTTCGAAACATCAAAAATATATTGTATATTACAAAGGAAGTGTAACTTGTAAATACCGTGGCAAAAGAATGATTCAGTTGAAAATGTACCTTAAAAGAAGATTTTTATTTGGACAAACGTAACGTTCGTAGCATAGGATGAACAAAAGTTTATTGTATTTTAAACGGTCATGCAAAATTGCTTAGGAAATATCAGTGAGATGTATGAAAGGAGAATCTTTGTGTAACAAGAGTAAAAACACACTGTTTTGGGATGTTAAATTTCCAAATTATGAAGTATTTTCGTTATTTGAAAGTAAAATTATAAAGATGTTTCAAACTATATACTATCTTAAGTTATAAAACAAAATTTTGTTGGAAACTACCGTCATGGTAAAGTGAAAAATAAAACAAGAAATTCTCAAAACCTAGATAATGTACTGAAATCATAAACAAAATTAATATTCATTATTTTTAAAGTAATTTTATGTTGTTAATGTAATTACATTAACCTCATTCATGTAAAAAGAAAAAGATTGATTTTTTAAACTTGTTACATGAGAATCCTTCCTTAAGATTAATTTATAATTTTTCTTCGAGTAATCGTGCCATCAAGTGCGTCAATACTAGGTGACAAAGATATTTTTTGCACAACATATGGCGTTTATTAGAACGTCCATTTATTGATAATTCATAGTAGGGAAAATACCTATATGCATGTTATTTATTTACATTAAACTTCGCGACAAAGGCAAGAGCCAATTTCATAGAACGCGATGTTTATTTAAACATCAAACGATGACGGTCAATGTACAGCATTTATTACTATATACATATTTCAAAATTAAATTATTAAATATTTCTTTAATTTTTTTTAATGGTAATAAATCGTAGAATATGAAAAATTCTGTATTTGTAAAATAATACACAAATATTCATACGTGGTATATACATATCACATTTGTTCATATAATGTTAACTTACATTACACTATTTTGTTTTTAACCTATTAACCAGATGAAGACGAGATTATTCATTTATTTGACAATTTATTCCACTAATTCGTTTATTCGTTTATCAACTGATTTTTGCATAGACATATGTAACATATAATGTAACTACTTGTTTAATACAAGTTACGTGTTATACGAGTTTGTTAAATATATAAATATTATGTTTAATAATTTTTATGAAATTGGCCCTTCATTTCATATTTATATTGTTCAACAGTTACTAGTTGTGTTGATTCATTGTTTTGAGGACAACACCATGCTGCTTTGTACATTATTGCGTCATTCATAATGTCTTCTCCAACTTATAATTTTAAGAATGTTTTATCGATTTGAAAATATGAGAAACATTATTTGTGAATACAAAGTTAGCCCTTAAGTCTTTTAAATCTATAAAACATATGTAACTGTAAAAAAATTGTTATAATTTAATCTGAAGATTTTGTGTTGTTTCTATGAATAACACGATGCAGAGTTTATATTAGAATAGATTATGTTGTTCATGTATAAAAGTTTTATTGAAAGGACAAATGTTTTTTTATACTAACTAATGTAAGAAATATGATCACAAACATTTTAAATCGTGTGTAAAAGTAAATACATACTAGACATATAAATATCACCTATAAAGTATCTCAATTGTTTAATAAAAATAATTCGATGACTCCCATCACAATCCCAAAAAGATCATGGAACTACACAGTTGTCGTGCATCGCTTGATATAGTTAAAACGGTCAGAATTAGTGGTGGATATCCTTAGTGAGACTGGATTAATATCAACTTCTTTATACATCGAAAGTTTAAAATTCATTTTTTTCAAAATTGTTTAAATTATCGTATCAAAACCATACCATTTACGCAAGATATTGAATCAAAACATAAGTATAGTTGAATTATTTATATCCTGTAAACACGAAGGATTAATCCTCACTACCATCGTTTTCTTTAATATTTATGTAAACAGCATTTTCTGTTCCACACAAATTAAGATTGATCTTTTTCTCGTAGGATCATCATATACTCGAATAAAAGATTAATTCGTATTCCATTAAAATAAAATAAAACAAAAAAAAGTTATTCGATATACGACATTTTCAACATCACTCCTCCCTTAAGTGTCAATAGGAACGCTTTGCTGTCAGACTTGTAGGGAACTGTCGTTTTCTTACATACGCTGACTTTGTAATGGCGAAGAATCGAAATAAGTCCAACTTTGCTTTGGTAATACGCGAAACGGGCTCCTGAAAATATGTCGCAATAATGGTTACATTACATTTATAGTTTGAATAATTTGTATAGTTTATGTTATTTATAAAGTAATTTATCAATTTTAACTGAAAAATTTTTTCCTGATACTAATATTCCATAAATCTTTATAATACGCCATTTTTTCATTAAAAAGCCCTGATATAAAAAAGGGGCCATATATAAATACAGTAGCAGTAAATGTTGTTGAATCACTGATAATTTATATTAATTAAATTATCGATAATAATTTATATTAGCAATAATTATCATATGTAAAAAAAATAATAAATTATTGCCTGAAATTTAGAATTTTTTAATGTTAATATCAAATGATCATTCTTACGTACCAATGCAATTTCTAGGTCCATCTCCAAAAGCTAAGAAACTCATAGGATGTCTGGTTGACATCGCGTTATCGGTAAACCGTTCAGGATCAAACACGTCAGGTTTTGGATAAATATCAGGGTCGCGATGGATTCCTATCACTGGTACCCATACTGGTACATTTTTAGGAATTGTATATTTTGTGCCTTTGAAAGTGTAATCTGTGTCCACTTTTCGCATCAATATTGGCAGTATCGGGTATTTTCTTAATGTTTCTGTAACAAAAGGAGATGATTTGTTAGAAATTAGAACGATCTTGAAATTCCTAATTGTATGAGTAACTCAGAATAACAGTAGCTTATCCCCTACTTCTCAGTTTTAGAAAAATAGCATCTGTGACATGTTCTTAGATTAATTGAATATTATTATTACAATGATTAACATTAATAATGGTTATTAACTAAAACTAATTAATAATAATTATTATTAATTGATAGTTGTCAACAGTAACTAATCATATTGTAATATTAGTATTTAATTAATCGAAAAATATTTCACAACCATTTTTTTCTCCAGAACTTAAAAATAGTAGTTAGACCCGCCATTATTCTGAGTTACTCACATTTTCATTGACACTCACCGCGGAATATTGCATCCAAGTACTTCATATTTTTCACTTGGTCGTACGTCAGTCCTTCTCCATTTTTTTTATTTTCCTCTAACTTTTGTCGAATTTCTGCTCGCAGTTTATCCTGTATATCAGGGTTCAACGCTAGCTCGTAAAGCGCATGTCCCATCGTTGATGAGGAAGTTTCAAAACCAGCCAAGAAAAAGACAAAAGCCTGTGCCGTCAACAATGAGTCCGTTAACTCTGGAACGCGAACAAATAATACTTTGTCAAATAACAATATTGATGATGCTTCGATTTTGATTTTTTTAATAAAACTTTGTCGAGTAACTACAAAAATAAAATAAATATATAAAATAAAAATATTATTGAAATTACGAGCAAATTGCATTCAACTATTCTATAATTCATTTTATAATTCATTCAACTATTATATAATTTAGTCAAATGAGATTTTAGTTCTCACGAATGATTTACGTGTAAATTGAATAATAGACAACCAACTGACCAATATTCTCCAAATTAGATGGGTTCTTCTTCAGTTCCAATAGCATATTGATGAAATCTGGTCTAACTATGTTATTCTCATCCCTGTATTTCATTGTGTCCATGACAACCCGCGTGAAGAAATCAGTGACATCCTTTGGTTGCATCAAGTGACCAAATATTTGGTAGAAGGTCGGTAAAAATTGCCTGGAAATATCTCGCACCATCTGTTGCGTTGACGGGGCGAAAATCTTTCTACCCATGCGGCGGAATTCGCTGTCCCCCTCCGAAAGGGCGTTCATGTCGATTCCAAAGGCACAGCTGCCGATTACATCGGTGGTGTATTTCGCCGCTATCTCACGGCACTCCATGGTTTCATCTTTTTTCACTATTTTCTTTAAATATTGTTCCAAATGTTCACCGCATTGCAACAAAAGAGGGAACATCTCTTTGAGCTTGCCAGACGTGAACACCGGCGAGAGTTTCGCTCTTAGTGGTCGCCATGTTTCGGGTTCTAGATTAAAGAGATGTTCCGAGAGATCTTCTACCTGTGAATTTGTTTCGACGCAGTTAGTAAAAATAAATTTTATTATATAATAAATTTATTTATATATATAAATTTATATAATAAATAATATTTATAAATTTTTAACCATACACATGTATGACTTGAATGTGATAATTACGAATTGACGAATTGACGAATTGACGAACTTACGATCTTACGAACTTACGAACTTACTAATTTACTAATTTACTAATTTACTAATTCATATTTTCATCAATACCTTAGGGTACATGGGTATTCCTCGACTCGCAAAATGGGAGAAATCACTAATAAGAACGTCCTTGACCAAATCAAGATCGTGAACTATCACAAGTGGTTGAGTGCCTATGTATGCACCGATAATTGGCTGGTGTTTGTTTTTTTCATACAGTTCCTGAATAGCGTCAGATGTAGACTTCTGTCTAGTTATAGATGATTTGAAATTGCCGAAAAAAAGCTGTGGTTGTGGTCCGGGTATACCGTATTTTTTCCAGAAATTATTTTTCGAATGAAAATAGTAATAAATTGCGATCAGTCCTGCCACAATGGCGGCCAATATTTGGAGGTAGCCCACCATGGTGGGTCAACTATCTGAAACAAGAGAAGAGTTAATAGATTCAACTTATCATCTGAATACATGTAGTTATTCAAGTTCAAAATCATTAGCCCAATGTTATACCAATATTGCAGCTGACCTCATCAGAGAGCCGAAAAACATGCTGATACTGAACACCACTGTAACAGTAAATAAAATTAAATGATATCAGTCTGTTTTTTGACCCTTTGACGAAACCAATTACAATTAGATTAAAATATTGAGAAAACTTTTCTATTCGGCACGACTCACTCCCGAAAGCTTCGAATAACTACAAGATGGAAGTTAAAATCAAGTTATTAATAATTTGTTTCCTAAATAATTGTTAAAATGAAGAAGAAATTTATAATCCTTTATATCCTATACAATTTATAGTAATAAAAATTTAATTCTGAAATATGCTTACAGTAGAGTAAGACTAAAAATTCTTTTCATACTTTTTCAACACAGATATTGTTAAGAATGTATACCGAAAATGATTCCGCGTAATTTGCAAATGTGCAAAAATTATAACCGTTTAAACAACATTACATCATTGATGACGTATTGCTATGTAGTAAGTATTATTCGTTATAAATTGGCCTTTTTTATATTTTTCCGAAACATATTTGAAAAAATCTCAACTAAAAACAAAAAGATAAACGTGATAAGTGAAAATCTCAACTAAAAACAAAAAGATAAACGCTGAATAAGCAGAATTGCGTCGCATTTTGTTTATCATCTGAACTGTTCATCGTAGATTAATATAGGCACGTGAGTAATGACAGTATCTAAAAATCGACCAGTTATCTCGTGAAATACGGGTGATGAGTTCCGCGAAAACAAGTGAAAAATATGTTTGTTTGATAATAAGTCAATGGCCGATATTAACGAATACGTACGAATTCAGACGGCGATTAGAATGGCCTGAAACGAGTTGAGCGGCGCGTGAGTACCTACGTTCGATCGAGAACTCGGTTTCTCCAGACACTCCACACGGCAAGAATAAAAATAGTCGCAGTTTAGTAATCACCATTCTATTTTTAAGAAATACACTGTGGATGTTTGTTTGAATTCTGTATATTACAGTTTGATTTATAGATGCGAAAATTAAAGAGAAATTAATCTTTGTCCCTTAAAGCTCTATAAGATCGTAAATAAAGGAGACCAACAATCTGCTTAAACAATGTTCATTTATAAATGCATAAAATTCGTAGTGCATACGAGAAACATTAAAGTATATGGTTGATGACTTCCGTTCAAAAGTAACGAACTTTGAAAAACGCAATTTATTTTCACACTTTGTGTTTATAGTTTTATTTGTACCGATTATACAAGTCATCGGCGTTATCTGTTGCTGACTTTTATGTATCTGTAATTATCTATAATACACGATATCAATCATATATAACAGAGAAAAACTGATAATTCAGAATTTGATTGAAGAGGAATAAATGGAGTATCAATGAATCATGCAAGTGTAATCGTGAAATGTTTAATAAGAGATCGGTATATCGTTACAGGAAAACGATATAATATCAACGCGTGAATTGATGTACAAATATATGTAAATAGGGTTATTGAAACCGCGAAAAAAAACAGATATCTCGGATTCATTACAAGCTTCTGCATTCTACGTGGTTACATAAACTCTGGTATCTAACGATTAGACAGAAGATACTAAACAGTACTTACAAGGTGAATTACAGAATTGTAATATTGAAACATATTATATTTACGTGGTAACAATGAAAGTATATCGTTTTTTTAAAAGGAAGGTACATATTAAATTTTCTAAAAATACAGACTTACAAAGAAGGTCAAAATGTTTAAGTTAAACATGCCTATTAAATGATTATCTTAGTTTCATTATTCATAATTTCAATATTGTAGGAAATCTTAAAATTATTTTCAGATGCTTTGGTTATATGTTATTTGAAATATGTGACAATAATGTCTGATAGATATTACGTATATGTATATATGTTATGTATACTTTACATTCATAATCTACCGATGGAAATATAAACAAATCATTGAATACCTTCATTTCGCGTTTAGTTTTATTTGGACTGTACAAATATTTACTACATCATGCAGTGTTGATGTGCTAGCAAATTCTTGGGAATATAGTAAACAAATAATGATTAGGAATTTAATTGATTAAAGTAATACGATCAATACACGCATAACAGATAAGTGTAGCAGTGTGTCATTTTAAAAACTGCAAATGTTAAATTGTTTATATACAATGCGAAGAGCATTTTCTAGGAACGAGCAAAAAGTATCTTGTTGACTGTGAAGATTGAATTATTTCAGAAGAATAAACATTGGTCAAAACTATATAGAATATTTGAACGTAATAATTCTTCACACGTTGTATAGTGATTATTAAAGATAGTTAAGTTTTGTTACACATCCTGTTGAAGGATTTTAATAATATACTTGATTTTGGTAGTTTGGTAACTTTGTAAATTTTTCATGTTTAGAATGAAATGTTTATATTCCAAAATGAAATGTTCAGTGTCACATTATAAACGATATTATAACTTACTAAAATTTGTAAATTTCAAGCACCAGTAGTATGTACGTCTCGCACGACATGTACGTAACAACTAATAAGAAATTTCCTTCGCATGCCGTATTATCTGTTTTTCTGGTACATGTGTCATTATCGGCGATTGTGTGTGTAGTGTCCGTTAACGTGTTACGTCTGTGCATTGTCATAATTTTCTATATTATTCTATATTTTTTAAAAATCGTGAATTATTCTTGCTGCGCTGTCTTACACATATTTAAATAGCTAATAGAAGATTTTTGTCAATTTTTATGCGTTCCATACAAATGCAAAATTCATTGCTTTTTAATTAAAAAAATGAACTTTCAATTTTAACAATTGTTTGTGCAATTACAAGAGCTATGCTAATGTTACGACGGGAAAGTTACTTTACAGATTCTTCAAGATAAATTATATATGTATTTTTGTAAAATTTAGAACATTTAAACATATTTAAACAATTTGTCTGGATGTTCTTTAGGTTGTTTTAAAAATTAATTACCGGAGGATTGGTATTATTTTGTGAAATATAATACCGAAAAAATGTTACAAAATATATAATAAATAAAAAAATATGGCTGCAGTTTCGAAAACTTGACAATTGAGCTGAAATTTTGCATACAGATCCCTTTTAAATAGAAATAATGTTTACGAGAAGGATTTTAGGAGATTTTAAAGTTAAGATACAAAATTTGGTGCAAAATCGTTTTATTCTTGCAATGTCACTCTCTACCTTGCCGTTATAGTTAGGTATAGATTTAACCGACGAGAAACAGGATAGACTGAACACACAGCTTAAGATATGTAGATACGTATCTTAAATTTGTGACTTAAGTTTATGATTTTTAACAGTGTCGGTACTTCAGAACATTAGGCAGAAAATTACAATGTGTGCAATGTCTGTGCAGATCGTAAGTCTATGGTGTACATAAAAACAAGTGTCCAAGGGGACTAGGTTTTACGTAAACGAATACGTAAACAGAAACATCGAATGTTTCCGCAGAAAAATTGTGTAGGGAGAAAGAAGTTTATATTTGATTACATTACATGCAAAATATGGTATACTTACACTTTCCGTCAAATTTAACGGAGGAGGAGTTAATGTTACAAGCAAAGTACAATAAACTTAAAAGAAAGGTACAGAATAGGTTATGTTTATATTGTAAACATATAATAGTATTAAAAAGAAGAAACTAATTGTTTCTATTTATGTGAATGATAATTAAAGAAAAAGCGATCTTTTCATTTGTCCTTTAAAATAATTGTTCTGGTGTAGTGTTCCATGAATTGTCAAAGTTATAGGTTACCTTTTTGTATTAATCACTTTGACAATGATTTTCATTAGTTTCTATTTTTTTTATTTCTAAAGAAAAAAGCATTGCAAGATTTGAAAGCACCAAAACAAGAAATTGAACGTGTACCACAAGCCCCAAAACGACCAACGGAAGCAAGAGATGCCAGGGAAGTTGCTAAAAAGTTAATAAAGTCTGGAGTAATCACAGCTCCAAAGACTCCTAAAAGACCAGAGCAATCATTTAAAAGACCACGTGGTTTAGTCAGAAAATTAAATAGTACAGAAAAGACAGTTAGTTCCTATCAACCATTCTCAGCAACTCAAATGGAAGAAGAGGAAACAGAAGCTGTACGACCAAGAGTTAAAGATTTGTATGATAGTTTTGTGAGTGCACAGGATACAGAGGATCGTACAAGTGGTGATGCACAATCACCATTGAAACAAGAAACAAAACCACGCGCTGGGAACACAATATTTGTTTGCGGCTATAAAATATCAGAGGATTTTTTGAAGAAACATTTTCAAACATTTGGAAATATAATCAATATTTCAATGGAAGCAGAGAAAAAGTATGTATAAGTAGTTTATAGGTTAAGTATTTGATAAGGTAGTACAGAGTTGTAATAATATGTAAATTTACTTTGTAGTAGAGGATTTGTTACATTTGAAAAATCAGAAGCAGCAGAGAGGGCAATTAGTGAAATGGATGGTAGTATGGTATCCTCTATTCAGTTAAAAGTATCTTTAGCACGAAGACAACCTATAATAGAACCTATGAATGATGTTACATCCAGCTCAATGTGGTCACCTATCGCAGCCAATTACTCGCAAAAGAGTGCGCACAAAGATAGGAGAGACTTAAAAGTGTATGAGGAAGATCTTTTTATGTGAATATAATATTTTTTTATTCTTGTACTCTCTTTTCGAAAGATACTGTTGTGCAATTGCAATATTGAAAATTTCTTTCAAAGTGAATTGTAATCTGTAATATTTATAAGATTTCAAAAAAATATGATTTTCTGTTTATGTTTTTTAATTTTTATGATTAATAGTATACACCCATGTCTATTCGAGTGGTCAAGTGATGCAGAATGTGTTGTATTGTTTAATTTTCTGACAATTATTGACCGTTTTATTATAATGCTAAAAACAAGTGTTGTATCAGAAGATACGTATTAATACAAAAAAGAAAAGAAAATAAAAGAGATAATCGAAGCAGCTTTGATTTCGGTAATCGATACTTGTAATTAATATATACTGTTTTTATACATATTTGACTCTTAATCATTAAATACAAGTATTCTCGTAACAAATTATTCGCAGTTATCATATTCTCGCTGGTACCAGTCATACATCATCAAATGTGGCATTAAGAATTTCCAGATCATAAAATTCATTTTTGTTACGTTTATTATTAATTATTTGCATGATTTATACTTCCCTGTAGATGCGATGTCCAGCAATCGATTATTTCCGTTAAGTAAACAACAAATATGATTATCAAACTTACTTTCGTCAAGGATCTTTAAAAATTTCAAGTGTTTACGTTCTTGACTTTAGCCGTGGTTTTAGTTTTATTACACTTTTCCCTAAATGTTGAATCGTAAATATATAAAATCGTTTTATAAGAATAAGGAATTTGAATAAATATAGAACATGGAGCTGTTCATGCCCAGTATACTGTTAACGTCAGCAAACATGTACAGCGGTATTAATCCCGGTATGGATCTTATTCGTCATCGATTCATTTCAACAAAGGAACATTTTCGGTGTACAATTTCGCGGGACGTTCCTCGACATGTGAAACCCCGTCAAATCTGTATTACAAGGGAAAAAATGATTAAACATATTGTACAAGTCTGTATCGAGAAGAACGTCGAAGATTAAGAAATAATAAAAATAAAATCCGCGTACTAGTTTTTCATACGAACAACTGTCTATTTTACAGTTTTGTCACGATTAACTATAGTCGCCTTATAATACAGATCTGTACGATTTTATACAGAGTGTTTGGCAGCAGATAAGAGGAAATCTAAGGGATGACAGTCTATAATGCTACCTGTGTAGTCTCAAACTAAACATCTCAGTTATACTTTACAGAACCCATGATTTCTCGTTCCTTCTATTTTATTCTCCAGCACAACGAGACAAACCTTTCCTCTGTAAGTACCTTCAAAAATCGTTGACTACCTTTTGCTGATAACCACACACCTACAAATTTCTTTTTCCCTGAAAACTCCTTTTCTAAAAAATCACGTTTTACAAACTTCTCTTTGTTCGGGATTAATTCTTCCTAAAAAAGAAAAAAATTACTTCGTTCTCTATCAGATTTCATCTAAATTCTCCTCCATCAGTTGCCGAGCACCGTGCATGGATTGCCTCATGCCGTTCCCACAGTCCCTTCGGTGTTCCCGTCAAGCGTTATTTGGGCGGGCTGAAATAATCCCAGTGATGGTGGTGAACAACGGTCCGCGTGCTGCCTAAGTAGAATATTAGCAGACCTGCGATCAGGAGCAGCACGGCGCACAGGGTGCGCTCGACTTCGCGGATTTTCTCCCTAGCTTCGTCCACGCCTGCCATGGAGGACGTGTATTCGATGAGTTGCCTAGCCGCCTTCAGTGCAGTCAGCCGAAGCACTCTCATCAGCTGTCTGGTGACGTCAACGATACTGGGATCGGGGTTGACATGTTGGTTCGCTAGGGAAAGGAAATGAGCCGGGACCTCGGACGCCGGAAACGCGATTAAATGAGTACCACCTAGAGGGAACGAGGTTGAGGAAGGATATTGTGACAGGTCTCTCTGGCTGTCCCTCTCAGGTGGCTCTCTGTACGAGGAATAGGAAATGACGGCGCGTTGGGGTTGCGTTTCGTTGGCGTTACCGTGGCTGGGCACGGTGTCTGGTGTGTCCGGCGTGACGGAGATCGCGGGCGGCATTGACCGCACGGGGGACGCCGTTTGCCGTGTCCGCGAGACGCTAATAGGGGACGGTGACCTAGATCTGGCCCCGCGCGACTTTCGCCGCGGTTCAGGCTCGGGGGAGCTGTCGTTATCCTTGGGTGCCAGCCTCGAGAATTCCGCGGTTGGCACCGAATCGGACGCGTCGTCGAGTCGGTCGGTGTCCAAGCGATCGTCTTGGCTCCGCTCCGACGGCGGCGAAGGCTCGGCTGTCTCCTCAGCTGGGGTGCCTGCGGACGATAGGGGTGACGCGCGGTATTCCGTTGTGGGTTCCTTAGCTGTGCCCGGGCTCAAAGAAAGGGGGGTTTCTGAATCAGAAATTCGTAACCGCTTATCGTCGATGCTCGCTACGTCTTGGGGTGATTGTGTGGGACAATGGGTGTCGCTGTCGCTCGGTCCCGCGTGAGAGACAGGCAACGTGTGATGATATGTGACCGGCATCTCCCTGATCTCTACTTGCGCGACCGTTAGTGTATGTGTGATAGATGACTTATTGTCCCTCGGTTCGACTACCTCTCTGGTAACAACCTTTTCGTCTTCGCTGGACACCGGTCCGCCGGCATCACCGGTGCTGCCCCGACGACGCTCGCCGCTGTCGCCGCGACTCTGCGAGTCCCGGCTGGTGGGAATGTCTGCTGGCTTCGTCTCCGATTGAACTCGATTAGCTGCCGCCACGGTTTCCAGGTGGCTCCTGATCGCGATCAGTTCCTTGACGATCGACGGCGATAGGCTATCACCGAGGCCGGCGCCTACGCTCTTCAGTTCGGACGCTGTGATCACCAGCGCATCCACTTCGGATGCGATGATCTTGCCCGCATCTATCTGCGACACGCTCAGTCGGTCTACCCTCAAGTCACCCACTTCGAGGTTGCTAATCCTGACCGGCTCATCGGACAAGAAAGCGGAACGAATGGATCGTATCAGTGACTCCTCGTCGTGAGTTACCATCTCGCGGTTCTCCAGATCAGGCGCGGATAGGTGTCTGTCTTCCATGGTCTCCAAGTCTCTCTGTGGCGATCGAGCCTTTAGCGATACGGTGTCGTAACCAGGCTCTTGTCTGTCATCTTTGCGCGCGCGCTGTGATATCGAGGGTAACGGCGGAACCGGTGGCGTGGTTGGTATTTTTTCAGTAGACACCATGATCTGGGAGCCGGAGCTAGACGGCGCGACTACCAATTTCGCTTGTGTCACCTCCTCCTCGATGATCATGTCGTCAGGTAACGGGTCCGTCTGCGTCGCTGTCGTCGTTTCCGCGGAGAAGTCTTGAATTATCGCAGATCTGTCTAATGATCTCTCTTTCCTGCTTCGTGGAGGTCTAGGTGGCGCAGGCAGAGGTCGCCCTTGCATCTTGCTGAGCACCTCCGTGCTGCGTAAATCCTTGTGCTCGTCTAAGTCGATCTCAATGTAGGGTGCCGACTCGGCCGGCTCCAATTCACCGATTATAGATTCTGATAATATTTCAGTGTCCTTGGCCCTACCCGGACCCAAAGTGCTATAAGCACGTTGAGGCCGTTTGGGTGCCACTGGTCTCGGCGTGGTAGCAAACTTGTCCTTTTTCCGTCTCGGTGGCGGTGGCCTCGGCGGTTTCTCCCGCTTCTCGATGATCGCGTAACCCGACAAGTCTCGTCCAAAGTCCATATCGTCCGCTGGTATGTCTTCCTCCACGTATCCGGCTTCAGGGAGTGACTCAGCGCCGTGTGAAGTTCTGTCTTCATCTTGGGCGATGGATGTTCCTCTGGACCTTGATCTTCTTTTCGGTGGAACTGGGGCCGGCGGCATGTAACCTTCATCTTCCTCCTCTTCCCGTAGACGTCTTCGAATATTGTCTGCGCTGGTTGTTAGAATGTGCTCCACAATGTACGCTTCCTGTTCAGCTAATAGTTGCTCCGATGTTGCGGGAGGCAACGGTCTATTAGGTGCTACGTTACTTCCAGTCCAGTCCCCATGGCCGTTACACATTGGTAACGCTTCGCCGTTTCTGTGTTCATCAACATCAGGCGCACCCTTCCGCGAACGTTTCCGGCGAGTAGGAACCACTGGTGGCGGAAGAACAGGCGATGGTGGCCGCATTGGTTGCAACGATCCATCCTGTGATTGACTGCGTTGCGAGGACCTCGATTTTCTGCGCATCGGCTTCACCACCACGATATCATCCAGCGGCTCCGCCGGACTCACCACCTGCATACCCTCCGCCTGGTAGACTATCCGATGCCTCGAGTCGCTTCTGGTTCGCTCGCGATAGTGCTCGTCCGCAGACTCGCTGCGCCTGGTCCTGTTCGGGTCCCTTTGCGGTCTGACCGGCGGAATCGCGTCGTACGACTCTGACCAGACTTCCTTTCGTTTCTGCAATGCTTGTTTCCTAACGCGTTGTGGCGGAATCGGTACTATATCCTCGTCCGCTAAGGCATTGCCCTCACTCGCCGCCAGAACGTCCCTGATCTCATGAGTTAGATACTTGTTCAGGTTTCTTTCATCTCGGTGCATTCCATTGTCTCGCACAAAGAACTCATCGAAGTCGATTTCCTCTATCACGCCTCTGCGACGACGGTCGCAGGAACTGCCGCTTGAATGTTGCTGTTCCCGGTCCGATTGAGCCGAAGACGGCTCATGCTCTTCGTCCTCTTCTTCCATCTCATCCTCGTATTCCTCTTCCTCTGAAGGCGTTTTGTGCACGCCATACCGTCTTGGATCCACCATCGCGAATCCCTCGTATTGCTTATCTTGTCTGGTGCGTAGCACCTCTTCCAACGATCTAGACCGAGGAATGGGCCTGAACTCCTGGGCCGCTTGATCCTCCGGCACCCAATCCTCCTCGGCTTCTTCTTCAACTTCTTTCGCACCCTCGTCGCTATACATTCTCGGCCCCAGCTCCATTCGCTCCCGCTCGTAAGATTCTTCTTCAGTTCTAGGTGTCTCCGACCGACGTGGGTGATCCTGCCGATCTGATCTCTCGGTGGACTCCTCGTAGTCCGTGTATCGCAGCTGTTCTAGTCGGCGTTTCTCTTCCCATGGCATCGAGGCTAGCACTTCGTCCGTCATCACAATCGACAGCCTGGGCTCCTCCATGGAAGGATGTCTCCAAGGCTTCGACCTTTCGGCTGCCGTCTCTGTCTCTGGCCTGTCATCATCGATATACGGCGCGGTTTCCTCAAATCTTTGTGCCCAACTGTTTCTGGCTTTCCGCGTTCTGGGGTACGTCGCGTTTTCTGCGGACTGGGCGCGCGAATCTTTTGGTGTTGAGGTCGCGTACTCGGTCTTCGATTTCCGGTCGAAGATCCGCGGGTACGTTGAGAAGTCGAAGATGTTCCTGCGCGAGCCGACCGTCGAGTCCGTGGACGGTTGCTCCCCGGACGAAGACTTCTTCGAGCGAGCCAATGCATTCGGCAAACGTATATTCGGTTTCTTCAAGTTGAACTTCAGTCGATCAGGCAGGTTGAACTTCTGCCGCTCGGGCAGGTGGAATTTAGAGCGATCCGGCAGGGAGAATCTAGGACGATTCGGCAGGCTGAATCTCGGCCTGTCCGAGAAGGACGATCTGATCCTCTCCATTCGGCTGGGTCGTTTTTCCGATCGGGACCTGTCCGATCGTGCGCTGCTGCCCGACTTTGGTTTCTCGGGCTTCGGTCGGTCCGCGAATGCAAACGACGGACGCTGAATGCTCCTGAGGCGGGTGCGCAGTTTGCCGGCCTGCGTCTTCAGACGCTGGGGCAGCCCGCGTGCTCCTCGACGCAGCGGCAGCTCTTCCAATGCCAGCGAGTCTACCTGAAATAATAAAATTGGCATCGTTCGGTTCATCGAGCATCGCTGTCATACCTGATTCCCTGGTTAATTATACGTTAGAGGAACGCGGGTTATGTTCCGGTATCGGATGATCTGTTGCGCGACGAAATTGATGGGTCACGTGACAGCATTTTGCGTTGTCGATTAGGTTGCACATCGATGGGTTTCGCTCGAGACGAAGTTGATTGAGATTGATTTGTTGCGAGCTTTGTACGTTAATTGTCTGATTAGTTTGGATGATTTTGTTCTTCGTTTCAGGTCGTGTGAAACGAAAGTGTTTTTTTATGTTTCCAAAAAATTTCTGTTGCTTATTGAAATGAGGTCGACGAGAAAGAATGGTTATGACCGTTCGTGGTATTGTGAAAATATTGAGAAATTCACAGACTTCAATTATTCATTTATGAAATACTATCAATAGACGAGGCGTTAATGTGACTCTTCTAAAACAGGTAAATACGGTTATGTATTGCCGAAAAGTGGTTGCGTCACAATAACCGAATACTTCGCAGGTTTCTGTGCATTGTTGAGTTCCCGGTTGACAACGACTCTTTACGTGCAGAGTGCAAAAATAAATGTAACACAATGGACATATTTACGAGCTCCACGTGAACGAGCCATCACTCTTTGGCGGCTCATATACGGGACAAGCTACGCGAATGGGATCAAGTAAATATCTTCGGTATTTATGAACGTCTGAAGACACTGTTTCATTTGTAAGTCAGAATTATTTCGTTATAACGAACAGGAGCGAGGAGTCGCAGTGATTCATACGAGTATTCATACTTCGAATTTTTTAAGTAACAGTAAAACTTTTACAATCTTTAATAAAAGCAACAATTTAACATTCTAACAGATTCACATGTTTACAGAGAAATTTCAAGAAATATACATGTGTGTATAAAAAAGTTTAAAATATAGAAGCCCATTTTGATCTTATTCACATAGTACACCGAATATATATGTACATACGATTAGATTAGTGATTCTCAAAGTGTTACGTCTTCCTACCCCATTTTTTTACGTACTTCATAATAAAATGGCAGTCCATAAAATATGTCCTATTAAAAAGAAAAAAATATACAAAGGTATTCTTTTCCCAAAATCAAATCCAAACAAGTAAACAAAAATCAAGCCATAAAAGAATGACCTGCAATTTCCGAGTTTTCAAAAATTCGATCAATTGGAAAAACATAGTTATAAGCTCGATCTAGATTTCGAACAAACTCTGGCTAGCATATCGCGAAATTTAACAGATCAGAGACGTTTCTGAGCTTCTTCGTTGCGACCGTCGAATGTGTCGCGGCCAGAAATAGACGCACATTGCTCTCCATCGATTATGTCAGTATTATTTTTCTTTTTTGCTTTTCGGCGAGACATAACCTAACAGGGGTTTTCGACCGGTTACGTAACAATGGCGACGAATTCGGCTGTACACACCGGTGCTCATTCGTCACGGTTCCAATCGTTTCGCTTCAAATCGGATATTTTCGAAGGGGTTGTTATGTAATTGATGGGAAAAGCCCAAGAGCATTCTGGAACGTTGCGACGCGATTGCACAATCCCTCCGGACAGTGACACGTTAGCTCTCGATGCTTTTTATACGCGTCTTTCACTAAATATAGGCCGCGGTGGGCAACAAACGGTAAACGCTTCGGACCTGCTGTTCGTTTTGCACAATGTTTTCGTACAGGGTGTCCGAAGCGGTGGCTTTGGAACGTTGTAATTTTTTTTCTTCGTTCAGACGCTTCGCAACTCGACGCACGTGAGAATCGCGACGACGAGAAAAAAGACGGCGCGTCTGAAGAATCTTTCGCCACTTACATTGTGCGGTAATTAAGTCCGATGCAATCTCCAGTTCGTCTGCACGATTGAAATATTAGTAAAAATGCTAATAACGGTTTTTGATGTTTTTCTTAAGTTCAAAAGCATTCACGAAGAAATGAAGATGCGACTGCGTAGAAATAAACGTTGAAATTAATTTTTATCGTGGTACAATGAATGAATCGAATTTTATTGCAAGAATAATAGGTGTACTGTTTAGAGTCTAATGGTTTGATTCGAGTGGCAAGAATAGAAGGTTATATCTATCAATTGTTATTAAAGTGAATACATCTTTGAAGTACGAAGGTTTGTGTGAACTGAAAATAGAATCGTGTTATCAATTTAACGATAACGGGATAATGACGATATCTGAAGGAGACGTGAAGCGAATGTGTACAAAATTACGACCTCATTCTCTCATGTTTATCTTTTCTTAATGCGACACACTGACGACGAGTGACACGCGATGCATGAAAATAACCACGGAGATTTTCTTTTTTCAATGTTCTGAAACTTTTCGTTCTTGAGTTTCGAATACTTTTCTCAGTGATTATAAGCGCAACATGTGAAGATATTACTGCTTGAAATCTAGGCATGTAGAATATAAAATCCAACAATATAGAAATGTAGAATATTTGAAATAAGCGAAAATATAATGAATAAAATATATGAATACAAAATGCAAAATAAGTACAAGATAAATAGAAAGTACAAAATACAATATGTACGGTGAATATGAAAGGCAAAAATGTAAACAGTAGAAAATGTGAAACCGACGCCTCCAATTCCGACAATACATCCGAAACCTTGATTCAATAACAAAGTTACACAACAGTAATTCTCAACTAGCATTGTCGCCACAGAACTGAGTATCATAGACAGTTAAATCGTTCACAAGTCATCAAGTGATCAACTCTACGATACATCTTAATTTAATACAATTGATACATTTTATCATGTAAATAATCTCATCAAATTCTTCTATCTTTCATTCCGTAAAATGAATCACTTCTATAAACGAATAGCACAGTCACTACGCCTATTATAAATACACCAAAATGGAGTATCCGCTATTGTCCAGTGCACAGGAATAAAAGACGTCTCTCGTTGACCGTTTTTTAATAGTTTCAATTGCATACGCGTAACCGTATCGGCACATAGCAAATATTTAACGACCAAATATATTCCTTCTAAATCTATTCTTCTGTGAAAAATAAGTTAATTCCGACTGAGATGGACCGATCTCGTTTGCATCGTCAAACATCCATACTTTCATAAACATACTTTCGTAAACAATTGGATAGCAACGCAACGTAAGAATTGCGGTAACAAATAATTAATAATTGTTCCTTTTTATCTTTACTACAAAGGAATAAGTGATACGTAAAACACTGATGTTTTTCATGGCAGTGAACGTGTTAAAAAAGGTGGACCATCTCTATCTGACTTACTCCATGTTCTCCTCACCTGACTAGTGTTGACCTCGCCGTCCGTCCTTGATTCGGCACCGGGTGTCGCAGTGCTGAGGAATCGCTCTTCCAACCTTTCCTGCAGCTGCTGCGGACTTTCCATTTCTTCGGACGTGTCGCCGGTTTCGACGAGTTCCCGGCCTTCCATCGCAGTGTCTTCGATCTTGCCGTCCAACGGGAGCCGGACATCGCCGGCCTGTGTCAACTCCGGCGGCAACCGTCCCCGGTCGTCGATGCTGTCGTCGCTATCTGCGACGGGCACCACATCCGTGTCGGAGATCCGGACCACCGGCGCCACCGCCGGCTTCGGCGACGGCGACGGCGCCGCGATCGGTTCGTACTCGTGCTCGCTGTTGTAAAAAGTCACCCGTTTCTTTCTCGCTCTTACCGGCATTTTGTTTTTGATTCTATTTTTATTGTTTTATTCTTTTTGTTTTGATATTGTGTTTGCAAGCTTGGTTAGTTGTTAGTCTTAGCGATTCTTCGTTTCTATTTACTTTGCTTCATCTTTTTTGATATTTTGTCGCAAGCTTGGATAGCTGTTAAATTCTAGTAATTCTTCGTTTCATCGTTTTTGACGCTCTGTTGCAGGTCTGGTTAGTTGTTAATCTCAGAAATTTTTCGTTTCTATTTCTGTTGTTTTATCTTTTTAACACTTTTTCACAACCTTAGGTTTGTTAGTTGTAGTGATCTTTGAGGGAAAATTTTGTTGTGTTGAAGATAAAGAGTAAATGCGTTTGCGAGGGAAAAATAAGTAATGTTCCTAGATCGTGAGTTGATAATTGACTGTACAGTTGAGCAATGGTTTTATGGGACAGTTTTGTTAGTCAGGTGTGTTCTTTCGTTCGTTCTTCAAACATATTTAGTGTAATAATTTTTGTTGATGAATATGAGAATTCTAGAAGTCTTTCGTGATATTCTGGATCTTGTGCGTGATCTTCGCGTTATATTTGATAATTTCACAATTGACTAATCAGTCTTGTTATCTAATATCTAAGTATTGCTATTAAAATACTATATTTGTCACTTTGAATAGAAGACTTGACCGAAGTATTACGCGATTCGGCAAGCTAATACTGGCAGTATCACTAATTCAATCCTATTACTAACAACCTAAAAAATCTTATCAAAAATCTCTGTTTACAATGCTTGTTCAATTTCTCGCTCGGTCAATTAATATATAAATTTCTACCTCAGTCTTGTTACACGAAACGCAAGCAATCAATCAAATACTATACTTAACCCAAACTTTCCACGATTTGACTAACTGTAATAACACTGTTCATTTCTGTCACAATACTATCTGTCAGCATCCAAATAGTCGTATCAAAATGTTATGCTTGACCCTTCATGAAAATGCTTAACCGAAGTTTTACACAATCTATCCAATTACACTTTATTCCTGTCACAATACTGTCCTCAAGATTCAAGTGGTCGCATCAAAATACTATGCCTGAATCTTGTTAAAAATGCTTGACCGAAATTTCACACGATCTAACCAACTAATACACTTTGTTGTTGTCTCAATGTTGTCGTTCAGGATCCAAATAATCACAAAATTCTATGCCTGACTCTGAAGTGGTATACAGGACGGAAGTTTCGAACAATTCGAACAAATTCGTTATTGTGAGTCTTGGAATTTGTTTCCTGGCGTGTTCAGACGGATCGGTGAAAGACGCGACCGTGACACTGTGAACCGTGGCCAGTCGCGCGATCGTATCACTGGAATCGGACGTTTCAGTAGAGAAAGCAGGCATTAGTCGGACGGGGGATTCCAGCGGTGCTCCAACCGCGATGTTAGCGTGTTAGGACGTTAGCCATTGTTAATTCGCAGATCGGAGGACGATGTTCAGGAAATGCAACGGTCGAGGTTATTTCCGTTTCTCGTTTGACTGTGTTCACGTACATTTCTCCGGGCCTAGTGGAGCACTGTTTCAACGATTAAAAGAATCAATTAATATTTCAGTACGATAAAGCGAATATTTTAACTACTATGGCATTCATTCTATTTAATAAAAATATGATACTGCACTATGTAATAATATAATAATAAATATTATATTATAAAATGAAATTATCATTATATTTATCATTCTTTGGGGATACAAATGTTTCGAATTTTTAGAATTTTTAATTTAAAAAACTTCTTTCATTCGCACTATGTTGGATTTTTCAAACTTTTCACTTGTGATCTATAGAACAGCTAAATCAAAAAATAGTTTATCATATTCTTGGTTAAAAAACAAACTCTATTAAAAATGATAAGAATCGAAATTCTAAGAAGATACATCAATTTGTCCAGGTGTCCCCTACATGTCTCTAGCGTTAATAAACCAAGACAACAATCTGTAATTAGCGACGCTCGACTGTTTTCAAGAATCCTCGAAGCCCAGCTTCCTCTTAGCCGGTAATCATTGAACGTCATCACGATATTTAGCGTTATCCCGATCATCGATAGTCGGTGTTCCCATTATCGCGATACAATGATCCGATAGCAATCTATTCAACCATTCCTCTTTGTCTCCATCTAGGCGGACACAATTTTAAATAAATTTCAGTAATAAACAAAAGTACAGTTTTAATTATAAGTAACGATAAAACTTTTATTTAAATAAATTCACTCAAAAAGTAACAAACGGTTTATCGTCTACTTGTGTACTGAAAAAGAATTGCGAACTTAATGATTCTAATTAAACAAATTAATACCGATAAAAATGCGGAACATAAGAAAAAAATTTCAAATAAGTATATTTACCAAATGTTGGACTTTCATATATTTAGGGGAAATTTGAAAAAATATATAGAACATCCAAAGCATAGTGCTTGTTATAATGTCCATTAAGGAAAACCATTTTCCAGTTTAATTAGAAATTCTACTTTCCTAATCAGTCTCTTAAAAACTTGAATTTGCATAAAGATCCGCAGTATATGCATTACAAATCAAAGATACCGACATTTATGTACACACGAGTGTTCCACTATCGCCGCGCATCGGCAGCTACAGGCGTGTTGTTTAAATACAACCGTGAATGCGTTAACAGTATAAAAATAGCGGTGTCGCGCGTTCGATACATCGCGCAACGCCCAAACCCGAAGTCTCCGAAAATTCCTCTGATGCCCCGCGTACAATGAAAACCTATTTCCCTGATAACCGGCCGAACACCTATCTAACATCTCGAAGCCCAGCGCGGCGGTCGATCATCCCCTTAGCCCCCACCGTTGCTACCCACGAGGCGCGAGAGCACGCTGGCGACACGTCCACAGACCCGGCGCACGTGAGGGGATCGTGTCGGAATGGTCTTGACGCGGAACCGAGGCGAGCTGACCGAGGATTCTATGTATAGCCAGCCGGGCGAACCTTAAATAGCCGCGGCGAGCATAGTTTGACTCGCTTGTTAACCTATACTTCGTCACCGTCAGCTCCATTAACCGATCGTGAGGGGGTTAGACGCCATTAAAGTCGTCGAAAAATCGAAATGAACGTCACCAAACGCAACTCGGCAAAAACAGAACCCAGATAATCCCCCTAGGAACACTCCAATCGATGCAGGAAACAAGACACTTTAGGGTATCGGGGCGACTAGGGACTGCTACCCTAAAATCTAGCTCGAAGGATGATCCGGTTACGGTTAGCTACTAACCTGCAGCGGACCGCAGGTGGCTGCTGCATCGTCCTGGACGGCGGTCTACCGAGGAGAGCACGTCGTTCCGGCAGAAGCGAGTCGCTCTGGTAGTACTGACAGCCGCAACGGACCTCGCGTCCGAGGCTAGACGTCGACGAGGCTCGCGAGGCGCGTCCTCGTTGATCCGGCTCCATCCCCACCCCCCTAGATTCCACTTGTCCACCTCCAGTCTCCTCTTCCTCTGCCTACCTGACGCGCGACACCCGGGACTGCGTCGCGCGGTTACGTCGCGGTCGGCCGCGGTCACGGAGCTTCTTCGGGCTGGCCCCTATACTCACGTATCCTCTAACGGCGTCACCTCCCCCGGTGTCATTCGTCGTTCGCTCTTACGTCGCTGCTTATCGTCCAGGGACGAGCCAACGAGATATCCGGCTTGATGAAACCAGGGGTCGCCGCGACCCCGGAGAAAGGTAGAGAAAGAGAGAGAGTGCGTGTGTGTGCGTGTGCGTGCGTGGGTGTACCCGAGCGAGCGAGAGAGAGCCGTTCCGCCTCCGAGAGCTGCCCGCCCGCCGCGGCTCTCCCGACTTCTGGCCCCGGACTCTCTTCTTCTACCCTCTCGGCGGCGAGCGGCGGCCGACCGGGCCGGACATCAGGATTATTTATAGAAAGTTTTCGTGTCGGCCGACTGTTATTGAGCCATCCTAGCCAGAATATCGTCTCACCTGTCCTGCTCCGAGTCGGGTCTGTGGAGATTCCGCGGCCCCAACACCTGGCCACCGAGATGCGAGTCGAGATAGGGCGGCGCGACGCGAATCGACACGACCGGCCGCGACGATGAACGCCGACGGCGGGAAGATTCGATTTTTTTACCGCTCTCCCTTGGGCTTCGTTCACAGCCGGCGGACGACACCGACGGAAGGTTTGATTTTTGTTTCCCTGTTTTCTTTTAGGTCCCTTTTGGTTTTGTTAGACCAGACGGCGGGAATGTTTGATCTTCGCGTTCTTTTTTCTGGTTTCTTTTGGTTTCGTTGCTTTTTGTGCTTCGTTCGGGAGACACGTGGATGATTTTTTTGTGTAGGGCTTTTGATCTTTGTTTTGCGGATTACGGTTAGGTTGAGGCTGGTATTCCGAGTACGGATGAAATGGATATTATTAGGCGACGCGTTGGTTTTGGGTTAGTATGGGAGGATTTTCTTTTGACAGTGTGTATGTGTTGGAGAAATGTTTTCTGTTGAAGGTTTTTAGAGATTCGTGGATCGGAGAGCGTAGAGCAATGAATTTCGTGGTCTCGTGCAAATGTTTGAGCTGATTGATGTATTGGTAATGTGGTAATTTGGAGATATTGATAATGGATTTTCAATTGAAACGTGTGAACTTGTTGTATATTCAGTTCGTCCGAAAATGAGCTTTTATGTTTTTTTACTTTTATAATTAATATCGTTGGTTTAAATCTGAAATATTTCGGTGAATGAAGGTTTCTGTTAAAATAGGAGCTCGTACCAAATTTAATTCTAATTCGAACAGTATTTTCAAGAATTAAGAATAAGAAATATTTTCGAAAATGTTTTGGTTGCTATTGAAAAATTTATTAAAAAAATACTTAAGTTTTTCCATAAATCTCTAGGAAACTAATTGATTAAATAGCTGTCACTAGTTGAAGCGTTAAAATTCCTGAGTTCATCAACGAGGAAATTTGGCTACATGTCACCCATCTTTCATTTCAATTGCGAGTTCGCTCAACTGTGTTATTAGGTCGTCCCCAATGTTCGTGCCATTTTGAAATGTAGAATCCTCCTATGTATTCGTAACTCATTCTACGAGCTACTGCAGTTTCCAGTATACAAGAAACACACTTTTAAATAGCATACCGAGCAAACATGTACGCAATATAAAATGAACGAAATTCCACAACAAATATGTTTGTATCCAAACGCTTATCAATGTATCACAATAAAATCAAAAATAAAAAAAATAAACACGATTATCAATGAGGTTAATCAAACGTCTAAATATAACTTCTAGTGGCACAAGTGTTCCAATATAACCAGCCGCAAGAATATTTCCAAAAACTACCAAGTAAATTCCTAATAAACTCAAAATGCTTGTTAAAAGAGATAATAATCGAATTTTCAGCAACAAGTTGATATAAGAAAATTCGAAATTCGATGAATTTTGGTAGCGTCTTCAGCTGCAACGTATTCGTCCGTGTGTTCCAAGATTGCGGCTCGCCGGTCCAGTTGCTGGATCGGTTACGTAAAACGCAGAAATCGTTGCTCGGTTGTGGCGCGATCGAGCGGAACCGAACGGAATAATTCGACCGACGACGCCGGTGACGGATTCGTCGATTATGTCATGGCTTGGCACTCGACCATGCAACGGGCACGCCGCAACGCGTCGCGTCGGGTAACGAAAACGCTTTCATCCGTCGATGGGCGAAATATAGCAGAGAATAACCGGGTTTCCGAACGTATCACGGCCAACGTCCGTGCGCGCGTCTGTTCTTCGCTAGCAGATTGCGGACATTTCTCTAATCTTGAAGAGAAACTATCGAAAACTAGAAAGACCGCTAGAAATCAAGCCTGATCAATCGTGACATTTGAATATTGAATATTTGAAAAAATATTTAATACTATTTAATACTGTATAACTAATATTGTTAAATTTAATGCAAAGCTAAATTAAATTAGAAAGATCTGTTTTTTTCAATGAGATGTTCGTTATATGATATTAGAATAAATGTCTTAAATTATTCGTTTAATTTGAAATATATCTTTGCATGAAATTTTCGTGATACATATTTTCCTTTAAATAATATAGTGTATTTGATCAAAATAGTTTTTTATTCGAGATTTCGTAGAACTTATTGTAAAATCTTCAAATAGTATTTGTTAAAACAAGAAAATCTGTACACGTTATTTTAATAAATAATATGTCTAAAATGCAACGAAGTTGTTAAATACTGTAGATGACACATAGTTTGAAAAAGTAGAATTCCAAATTTGTTTTTAAACTGCTTTATAAAATATGACATCCCTTATTGAATGTTTCTCATTGTTAATATCAATATCTATTATTTCATGACGTAAAACTAAAATGTTTGATAAATACGAACTAAACCAAGAAGGATTATTATATACAAAATGATTGGATGGTTTCGCGGAGCAAATTATATCGCGGTCTCCAGAGAACGATGACACAAGCACGAAATTGGAACATTGTACGCAATATGCGTCACTAATCTCGGAAATGCGTTATTCTTCAAAATGGTCTCACCGGAGCAACTAAAACACGGCAGCAATTTCCAAACATTATCAAATATTTGTTTTATATAATCTTTATACGTTGATACACAATTTCATTTTCTTCTTTAAATGGAACAATGACCTCTTGTGGATCATGACTAAAAGTAACTTTAAATTCTAAGAAAAAAAATATATTAAACTGCATTGACCATAAATTTTATAACAATTTTCTCTTTCCGAATGCTTTAACTTCAGTTTTTCATTTCATCACGCTTTGAGCTTGACGAATTTGTACATTGTCCACAGTCCAATTATTAATTTGTTCCATACGAAATATCTTGTTGTTAACCAATTTTTTAATAATCATTTCTTCACCTTTGTTAAATACAAATTTTTTTTATGGATAAATTTCATTCATTCGAAACAATTCGAATAGTGCACAACTCTGACCTAGACAAGATTTTACCGAGCATCAAATGATACTCAATCCTCTGGAATAAAACAATTTAATAATTTGACATTTCACATGTATCAACCTAATATGTAGACTGCAAATTTGATGCATTTGCAATATTCATATAATATTCGCCTAAAAAACATCGAACTAAGAAATGTCACGGAAACTCAATATTTATTTTTAACATTATCAAAACAATGATATTATGATAATATTACCACTGAAAAAGAAAAAGAAACAAATCCGTATTCAATCCTAGATGAAATTAATTCACCGAAATTCGTGTTCTCATAAAAATCCGCAATCTACTAATGAGCAGCAATGATTCAAGTGTCCCGTTACGATTGCCAGTTTAATCATCATCGTGACGTCACGCGGTGTCGCCTGAATCGGCCGCCGGAAATGTTTCTGTTACCTTAATCATCGCGCAGTGGTTCGCAGCAGGAAGAAGCGACCACGAGTCGGCAATTAACGATGATCCAACTGTGGCGATCTGCAAGAAAATAGGGTGAAACGATGCCCGGACATCACGGAGGTGTGATCGGTCATCCAATGAAATATCTATCTTCTTGTCAATGATCCATGCGTCCTTTGTCGCGATCCGGAACAAGAAAGAGCGAACTGAAATAATTGTCGGTAAAGAAGTGTATCAAAGTGCCTCTGTTGTCCTTTTTCAAAGAGTTTGCTTTCCGGTATCGATAGATAAAAAAAAATGATTCGAACTGAACGTCGTCGGGGTAGTGACCTTGAGCTATATTTCGATCCGATCTATAGATCGCAGAGCTGCGAGGGAACGCGCCAGAGGAGGACAGAATATCACAAAGTGTCTCTTAACTTGTTAGTCACCCGGTTAGCCTAACTAAAATTGCTTTCGAAGTCGGCGAAACGTGGCCCAGGAATCGACTCCAGAGACCGGAAACGATCAGCGTCCAAGATCGACCGGATGGATCTGTCATGATCGAGAATCAACGATCGTGCTATAGTCGTTCAACAAGACGAGCCGGTTAGAATAAATAAAATATCAGCGTGTTTCTTGTGTTAATTAGATTAACGAAAGAACTACCGAACAGCCAGATTGATTTTCCTCTACCTTTTCATAGAAATTAAAATAGTACATTTATTGAGATTGAACATCTACCGACCTATATCTTAGTTTGCGTACCATGAAATCAACTTATTTAATTATTGAATTTTTTCAGTCTAAAATAGCTTCTGAGTATTTTTAATAACTTCAGAAGAAGAAATTAGTCTTTCTGATCCATTCGGTAGTTTCAGTGTTAAGAACGTGAATTCGACAATGTTCCACTTAAATGTCACATGTCTTTGTTTAGAGCTAATGACTCGATTCATTGAGTAGACTATAGGCCGTCGTTTTCTTTGAGATCCGGCCATAACGCGACTGCCGGTGTTTCCGTTGTTTATAGCCGACGAACATGAGATTTCAGCGAACCCGAAAAAATTTTATAAGGTGATAAATTTTCGGCTTAATTGTATTGGTGTGCTCAGAGATTTTGTTTAGGGGAAGCGGAAAATGCCTGAATATTTATTGTTAATTTGTGAGTCGTTTATAGGCCGAGGTGTTTAACTTCACTTTTCAAATTCCGTTGAATTTTGGTGCTAAAATATTCGACTTGTGGTATGCGATTTATGTTAGTTTCTTAAATTTCTCCCATTTCTGTTTTTCGAATTTTGTGAAGTTAGTCACTTTAGCCCAAGAATAATGAAAAGAAATAATAATAAAATGGATTAGAAACTAAAGAGTAGAACTTAAAAAATTAACATAAATTACAAACGGCAAAAATTTGAAAAACGGGCAACAAGATTAATTATAAAACAGTATCTTCAACCCTTCTTCAGATTTCCACTTTTAGTTCCATAGGTCTTCCTTCAATCTTGAATCTTAATTTTTACAGGAGTCACAACAGATTGAAAATAGAGAAAGAAAACAGTAAAAAGTAGAAATGTCTTTAATGTCTGTCAATGTAAGTGTTTCCTTATGCGTTACATATCAGCCGTAAATGTACAGAAATATTCACGGTCTACATAATAATTGCTATAATAATACCTTAACCGTTCAGTAATCAGCGATCAACGTGTTGAAACTTCTTAAATATTGTATAGTCAAATATAATTTCTTAAATAATTGTAACATCATGCCTATATAAACCGTTTCGAGATCGAACTTGCAGAAGTGTACAATAAATCCTCGTTCATTAAATG